AAACACGATTATGAGCATATGCTCTTTTCATGCAATTTTAAAATATAAGCATGTTTTCATGTATTGGAGACTTTTTGGTTAAGAACTCTGGTAAATATCATGCCAGTAGGACTTTCAAACATTAGGACCATAGAGGCCTACAGGAAAGGTTAAAGGGGAAGCTCAAAGGTCAGTTCAGAGGAGTGCAAAACCTGGGAAACAAAGCTTTATGGATCTTATACAGGTGCCAGGACCGAATTTGCGTGGGTGGGAAGTGAAAGCTCAGGGCAACCTAAGGCCAAAAGGGCAATCTGGGGTCCTATACCCAGATGGAAGATCATAGGAGATAGGATTTTAGAGCTAGGAGAAACTCTAGAGAGATCTAATAACATTCCCGTTTAACAACTGAAGCAACCACAGCCAGAAGACATGAATTGAGTTGTGGAAGTTCTAGAGTCAGCCTGCCTGGATTTGTAACTCAGCTCTACCACTTAGGAACTCTGGACTTTTAGGAGGTCCCTTTACCCTCTCTCATTTTCCTGTGTGAAAGGAAAATGGTAATAGCATTTAACTTAGATGCTTAGAATGTAGATTAAATCAGATGATTCATGTAAAGTACTTAGCACAGGGTCTAACACATACTAAAAACTTGATACACGTTACTCATTAATAGTAGTGTCATTGTATCATTATTCAAGTAGTCAGTGGCAGAGCTATGACAAGGACTCAACTCTCCTGACTCGATCTAGTGCTCTTTTCACTGCATCGGACCGGCTTCCAGGGTTCAGAAAGGATTGAATGCTGCCTTGAACTCAGTAGTGGCGCCAGATCAGATCTTCTTGGGGCTGAACCTGAGGGCTTCAGTCCATTTAAGTGCACTTTACATGAAAACACCTAGCCTGGTGCCTGGAAAATAGTAGGCTTCTAAGAAATATTTACTAAGGAAAAGATTTTTTAAACCAACAACAGGGCTGGAAGGGTGGTACTGGCTTCTAAGAAAAAGAGCTAGAAATCTTTCACAGAAACACATAAGGAAGTCTTAGGGAAGAAGATTACTAAAAATATGTTTTCTACGTGTCTGTGAAGGCCAGGGACAAGTTGAGGTGGTGCTTTCTGAGATTCCTTGAACTTTTTCATTGCTGTTTTCGTTAACCTTTGCCTCTTTCCCTGCAGTCACTAGCAAAAATCCTATACAAACCCTAGGTGGGGGTTGTGTGCATTTTCAGCGCTGGGCAGGATAAGAGAGAAGTGGGGAAATGTCTTTCAATTCAAATGAATAAAGCCTGTCTGGCAGCAGGCTTGGGGGGGTGGCCCCCAGGGAGAAGAGTGGGCGGTGGCAGGGAAAGAGGCAAGAAAGCCAAACCTCTATGCCCTTCAAGAGAGAAAAAAACAAGTGGTAAATGGGGAGCCAGTTGAGACCATAAACTCTGAGACTGCAACTGGGAAAAAGGCCTGTGCCACCTCCCTCCCCACCATGTCCTGCCATATCTGGTCCTCATTTATGACTCTAGTGGTTTGGGGGGCCTCCTGTTACTCCTCTTTACTACTATTGTCTCCTCTATTTTCTAAGGCCACATTGCTAACTCTTTCTCTGGACTCATGTATATTATACTGTCTATTCTAACACTCCCACAGTAATAAGGTGAATACCCACGGCCTCTCTAAGACGCATACTTTCAAGTCATAGTGTTTTTACCGTTCCACTGGCCCTGCAGCTCACCCTCCTAAATCATCTGGTCCTACGGTTTATGGTTGTTTTTAACTGTCCAGAGTTTTGACGTATACTGTCATCTTAACAAGAAAAGCTCAGTAACCATTTTTTGATTGATTGCAGAGTTTATACTGTAGTTGGGGAAACGACATGCCCCTACGAAATGAAAAGCCACCCTGGCTGGTGTGGCTCAGTGGATTCAGTGCCAGCCTGTGGACTGAAAGCTTGCTGGTTCGATTCCCAGTCAGGGCAAATGCCTGGGTTGCAGGCCAGGTCCCCAGTTGGAGGCGTCCAAGAAGGACAACCAATTCACGTTATCTCTCGCACATCGCTGTTTCTCTCCCTCTATTTCTCCCTTCCTTCCCCTCTCTCTGAAAATAAAATCTTTTCAAAAAAGAAAATATAGGAAATATCTGCAAAAAATAAGGAATGAAAAGCCGTGTGTCCGCAAGCACAAAATTAAAGAATACAAACTGAGTTCAAGGAGGTTCAGGAGATGCAAAGTAGATAAGTGATCCGTCAGGTTGGACTAGTCGGGGAAAGTTTCCAAGAGCATGTAAGTTTTGAACTTTGAATTGGAAATTTAAGGAGGTGATGGACATGAGTTGGTGGAAAGGTGGACCTTTTCAAACAAACGCACAAAGGGAGACAATACAAGATACAACTCAAGCCAGGACAGGTGCCTGCCCCACCCTGCCATTTCCCTGTCTCAGCAGCTCTTCATGATCTTCCACCACACCTGTTGCAGTTAGACGAGAGCTCCTTGTGACCTAGTGGCCCACTAGGCTCTCTCTTCCACCAAATTCACCACTCGAGCGGCACTTGACAAGTACTCCAGGCAGGAGTAGGAGGCATGTGCTGGAAACGTTTGCCAGGCATTGTGAACAACTATGTCTCATCCTTTTATTTTGGACTTCAGATAAGGAAAGGTGGTCTTTTCTTCACCTTCCCCATGACAGAGCGAGGACACATGCATATCGGAGCAGAAGGAAGCAGGGATCTGCACAACCAAGACGTCACTTTGAAAGCCCAGTGTGCTGCCGCCTCTGAAAAATCCCAGGTTGTATGGAAACCCTTCCTGACAGGAGACACACCTGGTCACCACAGAGCAGCATGTGTCAAGCAACACTGCAGATGGTCTAACACCAGGCACTATCCACACAAGTTCACTGATTGAATGTCTACTACGTGACCCTAAGCTGGGATCACAAGAGATACATAAAACTTGTCTCTGCCCTCAAGAAGTTCACAGTTTAGTGGAAGAGACATACATGCAAACAGATACTTACAATACAATATGGTTTGTGCTATCTAACATAAGCTTGCACAAAGTGCTGGGGAACATAGAAAAGGAAGAACTAGCTCCACCTGACAGGGACAGAGACAGCCAAATATGAGTTTTCCCAAATAAGAGACTTGGGGAGAGGGGGAGGAGAGGGGAGGGCATCCTAGGAAAGGTAGAGAGTGGAGGTGCTATTTCCCGGAAGTAGTGTAAAATTCTGACTGGTTGTAACTTAGTGAGCCCAGTGAAAAGATGAAGGAAGAAAGGCGAGAAATGGCTTGGCTCTGAAGAAACCCTCTGTGGGAAGTTTGAACTAGGTCACATTGGCAATGGGAAAAATCAAAGGAGGGTTTCTTAAAAATTTATTTATTTTAAAGATTTTATTTATTTACTTTTAGAGAGAGAGGAAGGGAGGAAGAAAGAGAGGGAGGGAAACATCAATGTGCGGGAGCGGGAGATAGGTAGATCAGTTGCCTCCCACACGCCCCCAGCGGGGGAACCTGGGCCACAACCCAGGCTCACACCCTGGCCTGAACCGAACCTGTGGCTTTTTCCGGTTCCCAGGCCGGCACTCGATCCACTGAGTCGCCTCAGCTAGGGCAAAGGAGTTTTTAAGCAAGGACATATATATGATCGCATATAAGTGATATGGTCCCAGTTCTCCCTCCTAGCTGTGTGACTCTGGGCAAGTCCATTAAATGTCTGAGCATTAGTGTCTTCATCTATAAAGTGAGGGTAATAGTGGTACCTATTTTCCAGGGTTGATTTGAGGAGTTAAATGAGCTCATGTTTACGGAAAGCAATCGCCACAGGGCTGGGCACATAATTCGCGTTCCATACATTTTAGCTGCTAGTATCAGGAAGGTTTCTTAGAAAAAAATAGCTTTGTCGGCAGCAGCAAACGCACTGTAGTGGGGTAAAGATTGATGATGGCAAGAGGTCCGATGAGGATGACACTGCAGTTTAATCCAATGATAAATAAGGTCTCGAAGAGGGATTTGGATGTGGAAAGCTAGAGAGATGAGAAGGTGAGCGGTTAAGTCTAGCTTGGGAGACTGGGTAGATCAGGATAACCATTCACCAAATTCAAAGATATGGGTGACCAGAGAGAATAGGGGTGTGGGTACAGAAGCGGGTAAACGAGTTCAGTTTGGGACCCGCTGAATGAGAAGTGAAGCCGCCGAAGACGAGAACCTGGAGGTTATCAATATTTACAGGGAGACCAGGAGAGCCAATGGAGAAAGCTGATTGGTCAGCAACCACACTGTCAGTGTGAACTGAGTATGGGGCAATAGGAGGGGTGGGGGGGACCCTACCGCCAGCTAACCATGTGTTTACGTTGCCCGCCACGCGACTCCTCAACAGGCTCACAGCCTGTTTCCTAGTTATTCCTTTGCTTCTTGCTTCTCAGTTTCCTGCTTCTCTTAGAGACTGCATTTTTTTCCCCTTTGCCCTCTCTTAACTGAAAGAAGGAAAAGCCCTAGCATCTCTCAACACAGCCAACTAGGTGACGCCGAATCACAAGGAAGGGGGCAGGAAGCTGGGGCGGGGGGAGGAGGAAAATTATTTTTAAGAGATGAAAAATGAAAAAGAGTTGGCAACAACTTCTGATAAAGTTCCACCTCCCGATATCCTGCCACGCCGCTCTCCTGCCGCCCTTATCAGGCTCCTGGCCGCGAAGCAGGACGGGAAATGCAGTCCTCGGGCCTGAGCAGGGTGGCCCGACTGAAGAACTCGGTTTCCCAACTGACTGTCTAGGCGCGTGCGCAGATGGCTGCCTCGGCGAGTGGTAAACAGAGACGTCAGGCGGGGCTGCAGCTCGGAGCAAAACAAAAGGGAAACCCGGGGGGCGGGGGGGGGGGGGGTTGGTAGGGGAATTGGTTCTGGAATAAGAGAGGCTGGGGCCGAGGGGACGTGGACCCTCTTAGGAGTGGAAGGAAGAGGAGAGACGGAGGAGGGGGAGTCAGGGGAGGGGCAAGTGACGCGGGGGAGCGGGGCGTGGGGGAGGGCAGTGATTAGGGTGGAGGAAATTTGGGAGGAGTGTCCGGGGGGCAGCAACTTAAAAGGGGGTGGGACTGCAGCTAAGGAGACGTTCGCTGATGGGAGCGCAATGTATGAGGGGCTACGGTGCCTCAGGTTTAAAAGAGCAGGAAGCTGAGTGAGAGCTTGGAGAAAAAGTGCCTTCGCTAGGCGGAGGTTACAGGTGGTGTCTCCGAAAGAGCTCTGAGGCTGCAGGCTGTAGTCGCGAAGAGAATCAGAGTTGTGTGGAAGGGAGGGACAGCTTGGGGGGCTAGGGTACGGGGCGAGGGGGAAGTCGGAGACTTTCTGAGGACTGGCAGGAATGTGCCTCCTGGCCCTGGGTGCTTCCCCCCTGGGGGGCGGCATCGCGAGGGACTTTGGCAGGCTCCTCTGAACGCTGAGCGACAGAGGTCCAGCTCCACGTATGGATCCTGGGAATGAGAATTCAGCCACAGAGGCTGCCGCGATCATAGACCTCGATCCCGACTTCGAACCCCAGAGCCGTCCCCGCTCCTGCACCTGGCCCCTTCCCCGACCAGAGCTTGCTACTCAGCCGTCCGAGCCGTCCGAGCCGCCCGAGGTGGATCCAGGTCTGGAAGAGAAGGTACACACGGAGGGGCGCTCAGAGCCAATCCTGTTGCCCTCCCGGCTCCCAGAACCGGCAGGGGGCCCCCAGCCCGGGATCCTGGGGGCTGTTACAGGTCCTCGGAAGGGAGGCTCCCGCCGGAATGCCTGGGGAAATCAGTCATATGCAGAGCTCATCAGCCAGGCCATTGAAAGCGCCCCGGAGAAGCGACTGACACTCGCCCAGATCTATGAGTGGATGGTCCGCACTGTGCCCTACTTCAAGGACAAGGGTGACAGCAACAGCTCAGCAGGATGGAAGGTAACTCTGACCCCCTTACCTCCGTCCCAATACCATCTGCCCCTGGGCCCCCCCCACCTCCTTATTGCTATTCTGGGACACCCCCCCCTTTATACACAGCCCACCCCAGAAGTCCACCTTCAATCGTCCATTAGACAAACACGTACTTAGGACATAGTATATATGCCACGCTCAGTGCTTAATGCTGGAGGATCACAGATGAATAAGACACTGTCCTGGCCCTGGAGAAAATTGAATTCTCTGCTCACTGCTCAACACTCCCAGCACAAGTGTTGGCTTGGGCTGCCCCAAACACTTATTCCCACAGAGAAGCCTTTATCCTATGCACTGCAGGAGCTGTGTGGGTTCTCCACATAAACCTAGCCTTCCCTCCACCCCCACCTCCCGCCCCAACACCTTTTCTCCCATTCCTGTGGGATTACTTGGATTCCCTGCTCGCCTCGCAATACCTCAGGGGAGAGGTTCTGCTCTAGAACTCCTCTTCCCAAGAAGAGGGAGTGGAGTTCGCAAAAGGTAAAAAGAGTGATATTCACGGGGTAAGGGAGCTGACCTAACCCACAAAGAAAAAAAAAAGGGTCATGAGTGGATACCTGCCTCAGTTTACCTGATAATGCCAAGAAACTCTCTCTAGTGAGGGACTCTCCAAGTTTGGGGGGAAAGTTGAGGAATAGTAGTCATGAAGGAAACAAAGAGAGATAAGGCTGGCTTTAGCGCACAAGGTTGGGTGTTCCTTCGGCTTTCCATGAAGAAACTGGGAGGAAAAATCTCGCCTAGATGCTCTGAAAACTCGTGTTGAGAAGTATGGGGCTCTCATCGTGAGATCGGGGAGCTTCAACCCCTGTGATTGTCTTGTACGCCCTTAGGCGATGAGGTCAGCATACAAGGAAGTACAGGGGCTTTTAAGAGGAGAGGGTCTCCTCCTAGGTATAAGAGATCGAGCGATCAGATCTGCAGTAGCCCTAGGGATTGGGCAGAACAGAAAACGGGACAGCTGACTGAGACCCTTGGCACTATTTCTGGGTAGACTGCCACACCACAGCCTCAGCTCATAAAGAGCTCCCCTCCTTGGACCCGGCCTACACAGCTGTTTTTCTTTTCCCTTAGGTTCGGTTTTCCAGGGTAGAAGAAATAACCATGAGTTGTTAGTTATGCTGTGGGAGTGTAGTCGCTCCTTGTAATTGACACTTACGCCGGGATTTTTAGTTTACAAAGTGTTTTTTTTTTTTAATTTTTTGTTTTATTAATCTTCACAGCAATTCTGAGATCCCACATTTTACATATTAGAAAACTAAGGTTTAAAAAGTTAGGAAATTCACCTAATCTCAGTAGAATGAGGACTTGAACTCAGGTATCACTATAAACCATATGTGTGGCTGCTAGTCCATGCTGCCAAATTCCCTTCATTGGAATCATGGCAAAGCCAAATGACGCTGAGCCTGGGGCCTCCAGGCTCTCCCCCAGCCCAGCCCCCAGCCCCACCCCCACCCCTACTCGGAGGGGACCTCATGCCTGAACTGGCTTAACTGGTCACTTGCCAAGGTTACTACCACCCCACCAGGGGGCGGCACCCACTTAGAACAAGAAAGCTTAGTTTAGGTGGCTTGGGGAGCAATTAACAGGCATCCTCCTTCGAACAGGTAAGAAGAATTGCAGGCTCTTAGGGAGCTCACCTCTCGAGGTTGGCGGCTGTACCATATACTAATTCCAAAACCTAAAGAAGAGGGGATGAAGAACCGGGCCTCATGGGTACTGAGGAGTAGGGAAAGGGAGGGGTCTTCTCAGTAGACCCCAAACTTGGAGAATGAAAAGGGGGGGAATTCATGGCACCAGCAGTCACCACGGTCCTCGGTTACTAAGAGCGCAGGCTGGATGGCCAAGTGTGGTTCCTTGAAGGAGCAGTTCAAGTGCCATTACTGTAGGGTCCCAGGAAGACAAGGAGTTCTTCAGCTAGAAAGAACTACTTAAGCATCTTTCTCCAGGCAAAGAATCTCCTTAGCTAGAGGGGTCAGAAATGCTTATGGTGATTTCTCACTCTCCATAGCCTGAGCCTCCTAGTTGCTCCAAGCCCTTCTGGACTTTGCCTGAGTTTTCTAAACACTAGAGAGCTCCATGTGAGAGGTCAAATGCCCCTAAGGTTGGAGGTCTCATGCACAAATTCCTGAGGAGAAGCGGCCAAAGGGCAGTAGGAAAGAGAAGGGAGGTGGGGGGCACAGAGGGGTGTCTTAACCAGCCTGGGGCAACCAGTGGAATGAAACTGCTCTGGGGGCTCAAGAGTCTGCCAGTCTCCATTCCCTGGGCCTCTGGGAAAAAAAAACCCCACCCTAACTTATCTCTAGAAGAATATCAGCAGCAAGAGAGAAAGGGGAGAGAGAAAGGGAGAACATATAGCTTCTAATACCAAGGCACTGAAGAGCCTACAGAGACTCAAGGGGAGCTTCTCCATCCCCTGGAGGCCTCCCCAGCGATCAGGCAAGAAATAATTGATTCTGTAGCGGGAGCCTGAGTAGTACTGAGAGCTTGGTATTCTGAGGAGGGGCGCTACTGGGGTGGGGGGGCGCTGCCTGTCTCGATGATAGGATCTGCGTCCTGGGCGCTTCCACTTTAAGCGACCAATTCTGTGAAACCGTAAAGAACACGAGAAATTCGGCTGCAGAAGTCAAGCAACCACTTTCTAAAAAAGAGGAGACTTAAGCTTGGGCTGGACGAAGCAGAAGAATTTAGAGAGGGGAGCTCTTCCCCAGGCCAGGGAGGAAGGGCGGGAGGAATGCGCCTTGCGTATTTGAGGCACAGCGAGGAGCCTGGCCCTAATGTGGTTGAGGGTGTGTGTCCACGAATTGGGAGAAATCAGGAAAAAAAAAAAAGGCTTCTCCATAGTCCTCTGGAGACCTGGGGCCCAAATGCTCCGTGGGGAGTGGAGCGCCAGCTGTGCAAGGTTCCAGCCCCTCAGCCTGTTCAGAGAACTGGCTCAGGACAGGGTGGGTCAGTCCTGGGCTGGTGTTGCGCCACTGTCCTGTAAACTCCACCCAAGCCAGCACTCAAGGAAAGGGGTGGAGCTGTGGAATGCTCTTTCCCATCAGAGCCTAGTTCTTGCCGAACCAGGAGTGCGGCGGCCTGATGCCCCCCAGCCCCAGACAGCCCCCCAGAGACTTGGGAGGAGTTGAATGCTCTGAGCTTTTGCAGGGTGGGTGCTCTGCCCTTGTGCAGTAGGTTGTTATTCAGGTCGTGTCTGGTGCCCCTGCGCCGGCCCGAGCAGCTTGTCTTCTGGGTGGGAACTGTGTGTGTGGTCTCCTTCCCAACCCCCAGCCCTACCTTTGCCGCTTCTCCCCCTGTATTTGAGTAGCTTTGCGTGTCCAGGAATGCCGCGGCTGCGCCCCACACCCTGGAAGGCCGGCCTGTGGCCCACTGACCTCCCCTATGCACCTCTCATGCCCCCTTTCTGCCGCCTCTGCCCTCTCCAGAACTCGATCCGCCACAACCTGTCCCTGCACAGCAAGTTCATCAAGGTCCACAACGAGGCTACCGGCAAGAGCTCCTGGTGGATGCTGAACCCCGAGGGGGGCAAAAGCGGCAAGGCGCCCCGCCGCCGGGCAGCCTCCATGGATAGCAGCAGCAAGCTGCTCCGGGGCCGCAGCAAGGCGCCCAAGAAGAAGCCAGCTGTGCTGCCAGCTCCGCCCGAAGGTGCCACTCCGACGAGCCCCGTTGGCCACTTTGCCAAGTGGTCAGGCAGCCCTTGCTCTCGAAACCGCGAGGAAGCCGACGTGTGGACCACCTTCCGTCCACGAAGCAGTTCGAACGCCAGCACTGTCAGCACCCGGCTCTCCCCGCTGCGGCCGGAGTCCGAGGTGCTGGCGGCGGCGGCCGCGGCGGCGGAGGAGATGCCAGCCTCAGTGAGCAGCTATGCAGGGGGCGTCCCTCCGCCCCTAAAGGAAGATCTGGAGCTGTTAGATGGGCTCAATCTAACACCTTCCCATTCCCTGCTCTCCCGGAGTAGTCTCTCTGGCTTCTCTTTGCAGCATCCTAGGGTTCCGGGCCCCTTGCACACCTACAGCACCTCCCTCTTCAGCCCAGCAGAGGGGCCGCTGGCAGCAGGAGAGGGGTGCTTCTCCAGCTCCCAGTCCCTGGAGGCCCTGCTCACCTCCGACACACCACCCCCCCCTGCCGATGTCCTCATGACCCAGGTAGATCCCATTCTGTCCCAGGCTCCCACACTTCTGTTGCTGGGGGGCATACCTTCCTCCAGTAATGTGGCCACAGGAGTGGGCCTGTGTCCCAAGCCTCCAGAGGCTCCAGGCCCCAGCGGTCTGGTTCCCCCGCTTCCGATGATAGCACCGCCTCCAGTCATGGCGGGGGCTCCCGTCCCCAAGACCCTGGGGACTCCTGTGCCTACACCTTCTACCGAAGCTACAAGCCAAGCCAGAATGCCTCAGGATCTCGATCTTGACATGTATCTGGAGAACCTGGAGTGTGACATGGATAACATCATCAGTGACCTCATGGATGGGGGCGAGGGACTGGACTTCAACTTCGAGCCAGGTACCGCACCCCCAGCCTAGGCGCGCGCGGGGTTGAGGGGGGGCCCTGCTACCTCTTCGGTCCAAGCGAGGGGGAGGCTGGGAACAGGGGGGCAGGTGGAGCTCCCGGGGGATCGGGAGGAGGCTGTCGTGTGGGAGTGGCAGCGTTTTCCAGTACGACCTCCAGGCCCCACCGCGGTGCCCAGCCCTACCGGGTAGCACAGAAAGACGGGAGAGGGGCTGTCCCTGTTTCCCTGAGTGTGGGCCGTGGTGGTGGAACGTGGTCATGCCCCCGGTGAGCCTCTTACCTTGTGCTCCATTTCTTCTTCCCACAGATCCCTGAGCCATGGCTGGAAGCTTTGTCCCCTGCCTCGGAGGTGGAGCCAGGGGTGCCCATACCCACTTTTGACCCCTGACCTCACCCCGGGAATTTGGGATCCTACTTTAGAGCTAGGGTGAGATCTACTCACACAGGTGTTGAGGAAATTATAAAGATAAAGCTGCCCCGTGTAGGAACTGTGGGGGGAGGGAAAGGGAGGGGGTTTATTTTCACTGTGCCAATTAGGGGTAAGGCCCCCTCTTGGGAGCCATCCTCGGCTCCCCCATTCCCACCCCCTAGGTTTTGTAGCAGGGGCGAGCAGTGCTGTTGGAAATGTGAAGTCACCAGTGGCCTTACCTCTGCCTTTGGGAGCAGGATTTTTTGTAGCATCTTATCTGAGCTGGTCCAGGCTACGCTGAGCCTGGGGTTTGTATGCAGTGGCCTCTTAGGCCAGTGGTGGGGGGTGGGGGGCGGGGTAGCGGGGACCTGGAAGGGCCAAGGTCTGAGCACTGGAGTGGCTCACCAGGCCAAATGACCCTTGGAAGACTGCAGATAACAGAAAGGCTTTTTATAAACTTTTAAAGAACTATAAACACAAAATATAGAGATTTTTAACAGTGGCAAGGTGCTAGTGATGGAGAGAATGCTTTCTTTTTTTCCTTTCTGAAGGCTTTGTCATAGTGACATGTTGCAAACACTACAGAGATTACTGGGGGAAACCTGGGGAAGGGGAAGGGGGGTAGGGTCCGGGGAGCAGCAGTGGGAAGCAGCCCCGAGCAAGGGGAGGCCCCCACGTGGGCCAGGTCTAGAGCAAGGTCGGTGCAGAACTAGCTCAGTTTCTCTACCACAAAAGCTCAGCCAGCCTCCTGCCTTCAGCCACCTCATGCCTAGGAGTGCGTGGTATTAGGATGCAGCCACACTCTCCCTTGACCCGCTACGGGTTAGTGTGACAGTGGGGGAGCGCATGGAAGGCCTGGAATTAGTTTGTGGCCTGGGAAGGGGTGGGAGGGGGAAGAGAAGGAGGGAAGGATTTAGGGTGGTAAAGTTAGGCACAGAGACCTCCCTGTTCAAGGCCCCTGACAGCTGTCCCTGCCCTTCTTCCCCCTTGCCTGACTACAGGGGTTATGTGGAAGTGTGTGTGGTGGCAGGCAGGGGGAGGGGCGGGACAGGGAAGGGGGAGCTGGGGAGCTTGGCTGAGGGTCTGGGAAATGAGCCTGGATGGAGGGGAATGTGGATCAGGTTTACTAGCACCTGCCAGGGAGGCCATCTGGGGCTCCTCCACCCCAGCCCCCAAAGCAGCCCCTCCCCCAGTCCCCTTTGCATTGTCCCCTCCCCCACCCCTGCTGTGGGTTCCCATCATTTCCTGTGTCAGTGCCTGGCCTACCCAGATTGTATCATGTGCTAGATTTGAGTGGGGTAGTGTGTCAAATCAATAAATGAATAAATTCAATAAATGCCTATAACCAGCTCTGGTTTCTGCTGCTTTGCTACCCGCCTCGGACAAGGGGGAGGGAGGGGGAGAGGCAAAGTTTTGGCGGGAGGGACTGCCCAGAGGCTGAGAGGTGGGGGTGGGGGAATTTCTGCAGGGGCAGAGGGTGGGGGTGGGAGGAGGGAAGTGGCCCGTCCGCCACCTAACCCGAGCAGGAGTGGGCCGGCTTTGATAGGCCTCCTTCGGCAGTCTGACCAGAAAAGACCCCACCCCCGTACTCGGTCCCTCTGTCCCTCAAAGGCTCATTGTACTAAGCTTCCCATTCTTCCCTCACCCCCACCCATGTGCACGCCCAAGCCCTCTCTTGCTACTCCTATCCACCCTCAGATCCTCCAGGGTGCCTGGGACGTGCTTAAGCCTCCCTGCAACTCCTGGGAGAAGGGGGTCTCTTGAAAAAGGAACCTCACATTAAATTCCAGTCATCTCATACTTAGTATTGCTGCTCTCACTTGGTCACTTTATTTGGTTTTGGTTTCTGCTTCGTTGTAGTGACAAAGCCTACCCTGGCCTTATGGAACGGTCCCTTGCGAGAAGTCTTGTCGTCACCCTTTTTGGTCTGGAAAAGGAAAGGGTCCATCAGATACAGAGGTTCGTGCAAGGAAGCTCCCTGCAAACTAGGGCCAAAGGCGGGACAAAGGAGGTGGAAGGCAGGGCTTGGGCATGGATGTTGAATTTGGAAAGGAAAGGGGTCCCAGAGGGCCTCCTCAGTGGTGGAGGAGTCCAGTTGGCTTGGAAGGAAGCGGGGGGGCCGGGACAGACTACATTTGGGGATCTTACTAAAAGGTTCACCGTGGATTCCATTTTAGAGATTTTCTTTGCTTCTTGGAGTCCAAGCAGTTTCTGTCGGCTCCTCTCCAGTATGTCGCATTGTGTGCGCAAGGCATCTGGAAACCAGGAAAAGGCACCCCGCCTCTGAGGACGAGTGACCTCACCTACCCTCCGTGTCCCTCCCATTACTCCAATGATCATTTGGAGCAACCCGGCCTTAAGTTAGCCTGAAGGGTGGTCTGAAGATGCCTCAGCTCCAAGAGAAAAGAAGAAGGGAAAGATGGACATGACCGAGTGCCGACAGGGAGATATACTGAGAAGATGGCGGAGAAATGGGGGGAGGGGGGGATGACACCCATTCCACCCGGTTTGAGCTAAGCATCCCTCCTAAAGGGGACCTGGACCCTATTCCCCTTTTCGCAGGATCCTGTGATCCTCCTCGCTGCATGACAGCAGCCCCACCCCATATTCTCCATCACCAGCTACACGCGGAACTGTACGTTCCCCGCTTTCTCTGCCACGCTCCTTACCGATTATTGTGTGATCTGGATCCTTCAGGAGGGGTACAAAGGCTATGTAGGCGTTCTGCAGTGGGGTTCCTGTGAATACAGCAGTGTGCTAGTCCCAGTCCGTGTCGCCCAGGCTCCACCCTTCCAAAGCCCAAGATTTCAGGACCCTATCACTCAACACTACCCTGAGCTGGTTGACCTTATCTCCTCCCCTCACATCCAGGTTGGGGGGGACACATGGTATGCGTGAATGTGACCTATTGTCACAGGCAGTGCCCCTTCTTAGGCTGACCAGACACGGTCACTTGGACCTGGTTGAGGGTGCCCTATTTTAAGGCCAAAATCCACCATCCACCCTGAGGGCCTTGCTCCACCTCTGCGGAATGCTCCCCAGCCTCTACCTGGTGTCCCACGTGCCACCCTACAAACATAGTAGGTGTTTCGAGCTGTAAGGAATTTGTTGGCATAGTTTCCAGGTATCTTCATCAGGAAGAACAACTTCATTGTCCCCGCTGTATCACACAAATCGATGGTGTCTGGAGGGAGGCCACAGGGGTAATTGGGGCAGCTCCGGAAGGTGAGTGGGGGCAAAAGGAACCAGCAATCCTATCCAGAAGCGGATTCAAGGACCTCTCTTCTTGCCAGCAGGAGGCCCCAGGGGCCAGAGATGGGCCAGAGATGACCCTCCTGCTTCTGACCCTTGGTCATTAGACCCCTCCCCAAACTCCTCACCTGTTTTAGGCAACCCCACTTTACTGCGGACGTAAGTCAGCAAGTGGCAAACAGCGCAGTTGGTATTGACAATAAAACACTGATTATCTGAGAAGAGATGGGATGGGGAACATGACCCTTCCCTGGTTAGACCGTCCCTGTGGTCGCCACTGCCCTCAAACCTTCCCAACCCTACACACGGACTCCAGTTCCTCCGTGATGACTGACCCTCACCTCCATGTTTGATGTAGATGAACATACTGTCAAGGTCTTACTCTTCAGAGAGAGGCCTGATGAGTCAGGGAGAAGGGGTGTGTTCTGGAGGCTTGGGGGAATCCATGGGGTTGGGTGACTGGAGAGGCAGATGGATTACATTGCCAGAGGAAGCCCAGGCCAGGAAGGCAGGAGAGAGCTGTTAGCAGTTGTGGATAACCAACATCGCTAGGGGGTGGGGCCAGAGGCTGCAGTGGGGGGATTATGAGGTCAGAAATGGAACCCAGAGCAAGGATGAGGAGAGAAGAGCCTGGGTGAGGTCTGTAGAAGACTCATTGGGAATTGGGGCAACGTGGTCAACCTAACTCTAAACTGGACCCCGGAAGGGCACCTTAGAGAAAAGTTGAATTTCTGGAACTGCATTTTTTTTGGAGTCTAGCGCTCCTCTTCCCTACCCTCAGCGCCATGGCCCCCATTCTTACTGTACCTCATGTTTCCCCTGCCCCCTGCCCCAACAACAGACATTCTTGATGATTATCAGCAGAAACTTTATTTCTCATTGATTTGGGAACAACTGAAGGGTAAATGGAAACAGGGAGGGAAGGGCGGAGGGAGGGAGGGAGGGAGGATTCTGTGAAGAGGAAGGGCCGGATTGCGGGAGATGAGAAACATGTACAGGGCAAACGGGCAATTCTTAAGGAGTAGATACTGAATGGGGGGGGCAGGAAGAGGGGCCACAAAATTCAAAATCAGCCACAGTGAGGCTAGGGGAGAATTGGGCCCAGGCGGGTTGGATAAGGGGATGTTAGTACAGTTTAGGCTCCGGGACCCTGGAGTTCTGCCAGGGTATCAGGGCTCAGGTTTTCGATTTCAAGGTTTAACGCGGGGGGGCCCAGTAGGGGCTATGCTGGCTGCAGGGGGAGCCCCCAGGGCCCTCCCCGAGAGCCCCTCCTTTGGGGGGGATCTCACTGACGTGGCAGAGCCGCTCGCTGTAGTCTGGCTGCAGGCTCTCCGCCAGGCCCTTAGACACGCCACTCCAGGCCTAAAGACAGATATCTCCAGGTCAGGGGTCAATAACGGGCAGGAAATAAAAGACCCAGGCTCTGTGCCAAGGGAGCGCTCTCTTCACCACTGTGATTATGGAAGGGACACACAGACTCCTGGGCTCCCAATACCACCGTTTCCATCTGCCTGAGCCAATCTATAATCAGCTCTTCCGCGGGTCTCTCTCTGCCTTCTCCACCCCGCAATTGGTCGGCCACATACTGACAGTTAGTGCAGGCTCCCTCTCCCCTTCGCCCACCCCCCACACTCTGTCTGTCTTCCTGCAGGAAGTCGGCAGTTGACAGACTGCAGTCCGCCCAGGACCATGTTCTCACCGAAAAGTTGCCGTGGTATTCCGTAACCAGATCCTCTAGGCTCTTGAGGTTAGGAATTCGGGGCATCACCCTGGGCAGGGGGAGAGAAAGGGAGCAAGAGCACATTGGCGACGCTCTTTGATTACCCTTTCCCCCCAGTTCTCCCATATGGAATAAAGGGATTCCATGTTCTCGTGCCTGCAGCTTCCTTCCATCCCCGGTCCACTTGGCCGATTCCCCGTCATTCCTCACTGTCCTGCCCTCTTCTTCTAGAGGCCCTGGAATCAGGAGCGTCCTCTACCAGCCCCAGCCACCCCTGCCTCTTTTTCCTGGGATTCCCGAATCTCACCTTTCCAGCCAGCAGTACACGCAGATGAGGCCAATACCGAGGACGCTAATAATAATCAGTCCCATGGAGCCAAGGGGGATGATCACGGCTTCCACTTCAAACCACGGCGGGGGCTCTACGGAGAAGAGGAAAGGGAAAAGAGCCCTAACGCTTGGCGCGTCCCTGCGATGCGCCAACATTGGTAGAGCCCCACCTACTGTGCTAAACACCTTCCATATGCTTTATCCTCACAACTCCTGAGAGGAGGGACCAATTAGTATCTCCATTTTTACAGATGAGGAAAGACAGTCAAAGAGGTTAGCGACGTGCCCGAGATCAAAGAGGCGGTAAATGGCAGAGGCATTTGGTTGAGATTTGGTCGCTCCAAAGCCAAATCCACCGTCCTGGGAATGCTGTAGGGAGAGCGTATACATGCTGTCTCCCCTTTGAGCGCTCCTTCGACTCCTTCTCAACCCATCCCCCTACCCTAACAACACATCGACCCCTGCTTCCTGGAGTTTGGGGTTGAACAGCGAGGGGAGATGGGCCACCAAATTCGGAAGGTTAGGGATAAGGAGGTAGAGCAAAAGACAGTGGTGCTAGAAAGGTTGCGGCGCTGCGCTCGTGGGTTGCAGTCCATTTTACCCTTTGAAGTATGGCCGCCCCACTGGATCGGTTGGCTCCATTCACTCCAATGTGGAGAGCTTCCACAGAGTGGGTTATACCGGCTCCGAACACGAAATGTGTAGAGTTTCTGCCCATCCACACTAGGCAGAGAGAAGCTTTGTCTGTGGTCCACTGACTGTTCCTTGGGGAGAAAGAGAGTGAGGGAAAGGTGGATGTCTATAAAAGGGAGAATCAAAATGGCCGGCCCTCCCTCACGTCATCCTCTGGCTCTTCCCAGTCCCTCCCTCCTCTTCTGACGACTCAAGCTTCATGGCTCCCTTCACTGACTAGCACCTAATGCCTTTCTCCAGATCCCCCACTTTTAAAAAAAGATTTTATTTCTTTTTAGAGAGGGGGGAGGGAGGAGGAAAGAGAGGGAGAAACATCGAGGTGGATGTGTGGTTGACTCTCGTACACACCCAACTGGGAACCTGGCTGAGAATTGAACAGGCAACCCTTTGGCTCGCAGGCCAGCACGCAATCCACTGAGCCACACCGGCCACAGCCTCCAGGTCCCCTTAAAGGCTTCCTTTGGTTTACTTGCCTGTCTGGTGTTTGGAAGACTGCGGGTAGGGAAACCCTAATGAAAACTCACTTGGTGATGCTAAGGAAAGAGTAGGAGGAAGGCAGAGGGTGGACAGAACCGGAAGGCAGAGAACAGGAGCTTGGGGTCAGGCTCTCCTGTTTGGCTGATTGAATCCTTTATCCCCACTTGCTTGGTCTTAGCTGCTACGTTCACATCCCCAGTCACTCACAGTCCAGCTGTGGTCTCGGTCGCTCCGGTACTGCACCATGTGCTCCAAACAATGGTCCAAGAGCCTGTTGCTCCAGTTCAGCTGCAGCTGGGATTCACTCAGCTTTTGAACAGTTAGGTTCTCCGGAGCCCAAGGAATCACTGGAGATATGTGTGTGTGTGTGGTCATTCCCCTGGCCTAGACAAGTCAGGATCCTGAAGATAGTGCTCCTGATCCCTCCTCCTCCCCTCCTCCCAAACCCGCACCCCCTCCTTTCTGCCCAGGTACACTAACGGTGAAGGAACATGGCTCTATATACTCCAATGTCCCGCAATCCCTGGACTCTTGAGCCCCCTTTCAAATTACCCAGATCCTGCAGTTTTAGTGTCTGTATGGCCTGCCTCCTAGGTTTCCGAGGGTCCTGGAGCTGGACGACAAATGTTTTATAGAGATGGATCTCCTTTTTTTGCAACCAACAGCCAGAAGTGATCTCTGAAGAGAAGAGATAGTGGCCACACTCTTGGACTTTGTCATTAGAGTTCTTGTACCTAGAGAAGGGTTGGAAGGAAGAGGAACGCGGGGGTAAACTTGGGTACTACAGACATCCACAGCCCATCCTCATCTGCTCTGAGCTGACTTATGACTTACCCCATGAGAAAATGTTGGAGAGCCTGCAGTGCTGGCTACCTCTTTCTTGGCTCCTATGCAGTCTCTCACATCCAGCCCACCTCCTCTTCCACCCCTGTGCTATCCCCTCTTTCTTTCTCATACCAATAGCGCAGCGTCAGGTTGGTGGGCTGGGGCTCAGAGCTGCTGTTCCAAGTGCAGTTCATATACTCGACATTGAAAACAAAACACTGAACCCCTGGGAGGGGCAGGGTGGATGTAGCGAAGGTCCCAGGGAGCGTAGAGGTCAGGGAGAAATCTAGGTCAGGGAGAAAATGAAGTGGGGGGAGGGGAGAGAAGAAATGATGGTCGTAAGAAGCAGCAGCATGAGGTAGGGAAACCCTTCCCCCACCCTCCCCACAGCACTCTTAAACTCTGTCCACATCCTTGTTACGTCCAGTGGCAGGTTCCAGATTTCTGTATGGCCCCTTCCGACAACCTCCCTTATCACCAACCCATTCCAGTCCCAGGTTACGCACCAGCTGTGATGCCTTCATTCCCATTAGGCGGCGTGAGGACCACTGGGGTGTGCCCCACCCCAAGCAAAGGCAGCTGCAGGAACAAGAGGAATCTGAGTGGCAGTGGTCGCTTCAACATGGCGCTCTCGCTCTTCGTTCCCTGCGTGTACTGTGTCAGGAACCTGGGCCCCTCACCCACTACCCTTCCTCACCCAGACATTTCCTTCTGTCATAGCTTCCGGTGGAAAGAACCTTAGAAACCAGGGCTTTAAGAGGGTGTGGCAAAAGGGTGCTCTGACGGGCAAAGTCTTCTGGGAGATTACGTGGTTGATCTAATCTGTAGGTGTAACGCCGCGCAGCCGTGCAGTAGTGTTAAGTAGTCTGGGTCTATAACATCGTCACAGACTGCAGAGTCCTTAGACCACCTAGATCCTGGGCAGGATCTTAACACCATCTCCATCTCCACCATTCCCAATCACCTTCTCATCCAAATCATTTCATCCTATGTACTGGAAGGTCTGAACTTCTTTCCCATCCTATGCTATGTTCCTTCCTTGGCTCAGCCACCCTGAAACCTGTCAAAGCTCTACTCTCTTGGCTGGATGGAAAATACAGTTTTGACTCCTGTGGGCACATATATAGCTCTCTCTCCTCTGACTGAATCCAAACCAGGACATCCATTCTTAGCTCCTGGCTGAGCTGGGCCTCTGTTGAGACTGGGGAGGAGATCTGACTTAGATGGAGATTCTGGAAATGGAGGGACAACAGTGCCAGCTTCAAACTTATTATCTTCCCCTAAATCTGCTTCCCTTCCTGTATTCCCCATCTGAGTTAAT